AATAAAAACTATTCGAAAACAATAATCTGTAAAATTTTAGATAAGCTCTCAAGCATAGAAATTCTATTAATTATGCATCAATGTTTTTCTGTGATTTGTTCAGTCATCGAAATAAAGAATTATAATATTTTAAATACAATTCTAATATATTCTTTTTTATCGAATTTTTGGTATGAGTATAATTCAGAATGTTCAAAAGGTTTTAATTTATGCTCTTACGATAGATAATCAAGATATTTTTCTTCGAAATATTGACGAATTTAAAACATTTATATCAATTCATTAAGTTGAGCTGAAAAAATAAAAATAGAGAAGTTCTCCTAAGTTTCACAACAACTATCATTTGTGATGAAAATATGAAACAGGAAATTAATATGTTATTGTGTACTTCGAAATTAGAAAAAAGTCAGAAATATTCATATGAACTTGTTAATTTAAAGCGGAACTTAGGTGATCAATCACTAGAAAAAATTGATTGAGTTTGAGGAGACTCAATTATTTAAAGAAAATTTTGATCAAATCAATTGTATCATTAAACAATTGTTCAGAATTAATCAGCGAAGCTCTTAAAAATTTATAAAACGATCAAAATATTATGTTGTCTATTGATTATTGTTGAAATTGCTGAGGTAGAAAGAAAAATTACAGACGCAATTATATTACTCATTGTTGTTCAAGACAAAACCGAAGAACTACTAGATTATATTAAAATCAATTTCTAAAACACAAATGATTTCAGAAGTATTCAAAGATCAAATGAAATTATTGGCGAAAATTGATCCTAGAATGAGTATTGATCTAATCATTTTTGACGAATTTTTGTCTAAAAATGTAACAAAAATTACATAACGGTCAAACATTTTCTGATCTATATGTTGAAAAGTTATTTTCGATTCAGATTCCGAAGAATAATGAGCAAAATAATTTCAATAGAAATTTAGAACAAGAATTGATCAATACTTATGCCTTAATTTGCATGGAAAGTCCTCATTATTCTTTAAATCAATCAATCGTTGATAGTTTAGCAAAAAAAATGTCATTATATCTAAAACAATACCCAAGTGAGCAAAAGACGGAGTAAATGACTAGTCTTTTTCTAGTCATGTCGACCCGTCATGCTTAGTCTTTGTCTCAAATTCGACGGGCACATGACTAGTCCGAGATTTTTGGCCGTCATGAAGCCCGTCTAAATCACGTAATTGACGGGCGACATTATACGTGTCTAGTCTAGTCTTTTTTTGAGAAAGACTCGCCCAGGACTAGTCTGAAGTCGGTTTATGGGAAACATTATTGTTTGAAATGCAGATTAGTCTTGGACGCGGAGTTTTTGAGACAAAGACTAGTCAAGACAGGCGACAGCGACGCCCGTCCAAAATGAGTTTAAAATTGAAAAAGTAAGGACGTCAGGGACGGTACATAGGACAAGTTGCAGTCTTGTGTGTAGTGGACGAGTTCGGACTAGTCTAAATGGAAATATGTAAGGATGAAGATTAGATTCGAACATACGTACAATGTATTACTTACCCATTGCTTAGACCATTGAGCCATATGATCAAGAAATTAGCTTCTATATAGTCATAATCATTCTGAGGTGCTATTTAATACAATTTTAAAGTTTTTTATGTTCACATTTAAGTAAAAATTATTTTTTACAGAATATGACATTATTTGGACAACATTAAAAAAATAATCCAAAAAGTTTGTATATTTTTGGGAAAAACATCTTTCGATTATCATTAAGGAGAAATAATTAGTTGCGTTAAAAAAAAATAAATTTTAAACATAAAAATAAAAAGGCTATTTATATTCAAAAGAAACCAGATTTCTTCATATGATGGCTTAGTATTAAATTAAAATTACTATATCTTCAACTAACAATTAAATTAACTTTGCTTAATTTAAATATATTCTTAAATTTAAAATTATTAGAATTTATATTTAAAATAAGATAACATAAAATTATGACATAAAAAAATTTAAATTATTCTTCAGTTTTTTTTAAACATAGTACATCTAATAATATTAAAAAATATAAATTAATATTCCTCGCTACGAGATGAATATAGTTCATTATACTTACTCCTACTTTTTTGTTAGTTTTGATATACTCTTACATTTTCAACATATGAAAATACAAAATATAATAAGATATATGAAGACAGGAATGCACAGAGCATATTATCTATTCTTGACCTCGTTGTTGATTATAGCAGACTCTCTGATTGTCATTCTGCCTAGAGAAATATTTATAATATCTTGGCGAGCGATATAGTTTTAATATGAAAAAATGCGTCTTATTAATTACTGTAACCATAATATAATAGATCAATTTTGATCCTCAATCCAGAAAGATTTGAATACAAGACAGGCAATAAAACGATTGTTATCCTACTATCTAGTTCATAGATTAAATGTATTTGATATTATCCATTGATTATTTTTAACAAACGATATAGATATTGAAAAGTTTTTCTACTTGCATTCTTACTTTCATTATTGATCAGTTTAAACGAATTAACAAGATATATTTGATTCAAAAAAAGTGGGTTGTTTAGAGTTTTCAGACTAGTCTGACTAGAACGGATGACATACTCTTTAAAAAAGGACTAGTCATGACGAGCGCAGACGACGCTTCGGACTAGTCTTGACTCTATGAAATACGTTTCAGACTAGTCAAAGTCGTGTGACATCGACTGGTTTCTGATTGTCTAGTGGATGGACGAGAGTCAATTTGGTATCTTAGACTGTATAAATTGACGTCAGTCTATCTCAGTGTCCTAGTCTACCATCAGGATGCCCGTTCGGTTTTGAATACTGTCGGGTTGGATGTTCGAATCTATCTTCATCCTCTTTTTTTTAGTCTTCGGACTAGTCTGGACGGGTTCAAAGGACGAAATGGACTAGAGATGACTGGGTTCAAGGACTTTCTGGACTAGTCCAGACGTGTTTGAAGGACATTTCTCCAAAAGGTGACTAGTCATGACGGGTGTGCAAGACGTTTCAGACTAGACTTGACGGGCGTTGCGGACATTTTGGACTAGTTATGGACGCCGTCTTTCGTTATTTTTTGCTCACTTGGGATAATTGATACCATGAAACTAGAAAAAAAATGAATGGAAAATGACATTTAATGCTTGAAAATCGAATAAAGATAGATATAGACTTTGAACATGACAAATCGACAAATACAGACAACAGACTTCTTTCTGAGAGGCATGCTGAATAATATAAAGTGGTGATAAATGTAATTAACAAACGGTACCTAGAAGCAGCATAGAAAGGTACGAACGAACAAGAGAAAAAAGATGAAGAGAGAAAGTTGGACTAATCAAGAATTCTTTTGAAAGACAAAAAGACAATGTACGACGGAATGTAGAAGGTGAGAGCGCAACTATTTCCCTCGGTTAGCTGTCGATTATGATCAATTTGTTCTGAGTAACAACCTTGTAGCTAAAACACCGATAAAAACCATGACACATGTCGGAGTTAACAGGCAACTTGACGATACGGCTGCAGTCGCTGTGCCAGCAGTTGCTGCAGCCGTTGGCGCTGCTGCAACCAAAACCGGAGCAGCTATGATAGCGACAACCGCTACAGCAGTAGCAATGGCAACGATAGCAGCAAGGCCAATCGGAGTTGCAGCAACGGCAATAGCCACACCCTCTGCAGTAACTGAAACACCCGTGCTTACTGCTGCTCCACCTGCAGCTGCTGCTTGAGTAATTTTAGCACAGTGAAGAAAAGACAGCACCAACAAAAATATTAATGTTTTCGAAAAATCCATAATCTTGTGTATACTGAAAAAGAAAAATATTTATTAGTGATGCACATTGAAACAGAACCAATGCTTAACTTTAACGGTAGCAAGATGTACGTTTCAATGAAAATGCACTCAGGAACGTGCCACCAAATTTGTTTCTGACAGAGATGAAAAAGGAGTACATGGATACATATGTGTTACAGGAAAGACAACTGTGAATTAGTGATGCTAATATGTCGAAGAAAAGCACGCATACAGAGAAAATGAAAAATGAATCGAGGTACGAAGTAAAACAAGCGGATTGATAGTAAGAGAACGTAACTAATGAAAATTTGATAGGATCCTTAATCAATCCGACACTAGAAAAGTATCATAAATCGTTTAATCTGATGCCGAACAACTTTTTATAGGATTTCATTATGGAGAAATTTCATAATTTCAGATCAGACTCTTGGAAGTTGTAGGATTTCGTAGGATTCTGTCACGTTGTTTGGCTTACGAATAGGAAATGCAAGAATAGAAAGAGTTCGTTTATTCGAAACAAAATCAACGGAGTAGATTGAGTTCATAGAACAAAACGCCACTATTCGGTAAAGATTTTCTTTTGACTTTTTTTCGTGCTACTTAGCTAAAGAGTGACAAATGAACTTCATCAAGGAGAGAAAAAAATTACACTGATCATTTTAATAAATAATTTTTTTGTTTTCATAAAAAAACTGGCGATGATAGACTCTAAATACTGAAAAACACTGGTTTGAGAAAGATCACTGCAGTTAACTTTAGAGTGTTGGTATTATTTGCTAGTGTTTTAGTATTTCAACCCTAACATCGTCAGTTTTTGATGAAACTAAGTAAAATCTTTATCAAATGATCGGCATAAAACCGTCTGTAAAATCGGTCACGTCGAAAATTTTCAAAGACCTCAATTTTTTGACTTAATAATCATAAGAATAAAGGTATGTTTCTAAAGAGCAGTGTAGATCTCTTTCAATTTCGTCTTAAAGTTTTCATATTTTCTGACGGTCAGCTTTCAATAAACTAACATAAAGAAAAAATCAAAGAAAAGAAACTATTTTTAAAAAGGTGACATTTTTTGCCGTGATCTGATCTAATAATAATTGAACTCACAATGAAACACTGAAAAAAATAAAGGTTTTCTACCGAACCAAAAAAGGTTCATTCGCTTGATACACGGGAAGATCCTTTTTATGGTTCCGTATAAAAAAGGTTCGGCATAGAACCTTCACTCAGAAAAGCGCAAATTGGGGTTTCGTAGCAAAGGTTTAGTACAAAACCTTTTTCTCTTCGGAACTAAAGGGTTTCGCGCAGTGGGTTCCGTACAAAACCTTTTTCAAGCATACGAAAAATAGGTTTCGTGCAGAACCATCAGCGCTGAACCATTTCAACAGATTATATGAAAGGTTTCGTACCAAACCATAACTACGAAACCATTTTCACATCCAGTTCGTTTGGAGTTCAGTAAAAAACCTTTTCTTGACAATCACTTTAGAGGTTTCGTACTACTCCTTCTTTGTGACCAAGAACGGCTATTCATTTCAAAATATAATCCAGTTGGTTGTGCCTTGAATCACTCGAGAACAGACCTAGCAAGAGATCCGTAAGTTTCACTGATGAAAGGAGGGACCGAAAGTAGTTTTTCCATATAGATTCCATTAGTTCATTTAAAGTTTCAGTGATCATCGAATGTTCGCATTGTTTTCGGACAATGATACGAAGCATTTTTGAGAAATAATTTTGAGGTCCAAAGAACTCGTTTGATAGAGAAGATCAAAGCTCTTTCGATCTTCGAAATACTTAAGTCCGTATGTATTTCCATTAGAAAGTTATAAATATTTTATTGAATGGTGAGGTTTTAGCAAACCAACCACATGTCAGCTTAA